TGTGTGTGTGTGTGTGTACGTTGGGCCGGAAGGGTTGGGAAGTTTACAGCTAGAAGTCGGGGCATTCAAAGCTGCTTGGGGCAGTTGTCTCAAGGCTTGGAGGAGAAAGGTTCGACATGTGCCAGGCTTCGATGAGATCGATGCTTCGGTCCTAGAGGCCCTCCCGCCCGAGATCCGAGAAGAGGCGGCCGGAACTCCTCTGAAAAGGCAACATGACTGCGCAGTTTCCCAAAGTGCAGGTCATGAGAGAGGAGGAAAGGCGGCGGCGTGAGCAGGAGAATTTCTCATGCCATCTCATGCCTTTTATCAGCCCCCGGCTCGTGGTGTGACATTGTTCCTTATAACCCGAGCGTGTCACGACAAGGAGCGTGCCCAGCAGCGGGCGACTGAAGCCGCTGCCACCCAAGCGCAAGCCCCGCAGGCCAGGCATGCAAGAAGAGCATGTGAAGGAGGTGGTCACGTACAAGCTGTTGGCTTGTTGATGTGGTGATTGACTCATGGCATTAGCCGAAGGCCCCCGCGGCTGCCAATGTCATGAGCCGGCAACCCAACGCTCGACGCAGATCGGTTTGAGAGCGCCTGCACCCTCCACCCACTTGCATCTCAAAGGGCTCGGCTTTAATTTCCCACTCAGGTGGTGACATGGACAACGCCTCTTTCATAGCATCGTCGGGGCCCCAGCCCCCAGCGCTTGGCAGAACAGGCGGAGATCTGCGGCTCGGGCTTGGCCCCTCGATTCGACAAGCTCCGGCCTTTTGCCTCGGTCGCTTCAGGTTGGACCCCATGCTCCGGGAAGAGGTCCTGATGACTGCCCCAGAGGCCGAAAGCCTGAGGGTGAAGCCCCACGAAGTACATGGCCCTGTAGGATTTATGCAGATGTGTCAGCACCTGAAAGTCTGAGGAAGTGCTGCAAACTCTCCCTGCCGAGCTGGTGGCAGAGGCCCGCTGCTGCAAGCAGACGGCTTCTTGGACAGGCTTTTCGCATTGGGTGTTGAGGCCCAGATGATCCGCGACCGTGCCTTTATGCGCATTGCCAGCCACCGGGAGGCCGGAAGCACTGTAACCTTTTTCCTCTCGAGAAAGGCGTATACCACAATTTGCGAGGGCCCCCCACCGACGCAGCCGCCCCCGCAAGTCCGTGCAAGGGCCTGTGCATGCTGCGAGAAACGGGTTGACTGGGCGATACTGACGGCCGAGCAAAGAGTAGCAAAGCGCGGCAGGAGTCTGCTAACTCTTGCCGAAGGTCAAGCCTTCTTAGCAAAACTCTGGAAGCTGAGGCTCCGCGACCACAGCCGCAGACACCAGGGCGTCCGCACCAATATTTGCAGGCAGGACTTGGGAACGAAATTTCTGCGACGCTGCACATCGCTCTTGCACCAATGGCCAGGGATTATGTGCCGACTCTGCTCGACCTGCGACATGCAGAGGTGTACAGTGTCCTTTGATATAAAGCCTGACAGGCAATGGAGCAGCAGCTGTCGCAACTGGCAGGAGGCAGAACATACTTCATGAGCCTCGTGTGGGGCAGCCTGCGCAGAAGAAGTTAAACCCCTGTAAAGGTCGTCGTGCCTGGCTGCATGGAACAGATGGCCGTCTCAGACAGGCATGATGCATCTAACAATCTAAGTGCTTGTGATCTGCAGGGATGAAGGGTGCAAGTAGTGCCCCGCGGTGCACAGCCAGGGTAGCGTAGCAGCGTCCTTGGAAGGCCAGTGACGACTTCATGGCGCAGCTTGGCCTGGCGCTGGGCGGCTCTCGCAGTCGACAGGCGAGCTGGGGTTTATAGCGTGGGCCGTGGCGCTTGGCACGATTCTTCTGCGGAAGGCAGCACCATTGGTCGCTGCTACTGGTGCTGGCACCTGCCTCGTTTTGTGACTCTGCTTTCCATGCAGTGCAGAGGTGAGATGTTGCACAATTGCCAGTCGGAGCACAACGCTTTCCGGTCTGGCCGGAACATCTCCGCATCGTTGCAGTTTGCCAAGTTGGCAAAGGTGTTGGAACTCCGGGCCTCTCGTCCTTCGACGAGGTGCGGAGCCTTCGGTGGGCCATGGGGCTATTCGCGTTCGCGTGCGTTCGCGTCGGTTCTCGAGGCTGACCGCGCTCTCCTAGAGCGTCTCGCCGACTACGATGAGGAATCCTGCCAGGCGAGTACCGAAGCGAAAGAGAGAAGGAAAGCACTGGAAGCCTCGCATTCTTTCTCAGGGCCTGGAGCCACCGCTGCCGCCCTCGGCCCTCCCCAAGGTCGGAGAGCCTCGACACGCTTGTGCAAGTGATGCAAACGGAAAGTAACCCGGAGCACTTTCGCCGACAGGTCTGCCAGCTTCTTTACCTTCGCCACGAGGTGGGTAGCAACGTCAGCAAACCGACCTACTCAAAGTTTCACTGCGCATCGGTTCAGGTGACCGTGACTCCGCTGACGCGGCTCTTCTTCAACTTGTCGCTGCATCCAGCAACCCGACAGTTCACCTTGGGACAGTTCCTGGCACTCGCCTCAGATCCTGAGAAACGCCGATTGCAAGTGCATGCTGCTGCTTTGCGACTCGACCAAACCAAACAGCACCCCATGTACTTGTGTACTGCAGTGCAGTGGCCTGACTTGACACAAGCACAGCAACTTCAGAGAAGAAAGTAGGATGCCGAACTGCTTGTTCTGGTCAAAGCGATTCACGAGACGCTGCAACAGCCCTACGCTGCAGGTTCTCCTAGTCAAGGAGCCACAGGCCTGGCAAGAAACCTGTTGCCTCGGTCTGGTGAGTTATCGTCGGTGAGGTTGTCGTGTTTCGTGTGCGAGCAATGAAGCCCCGACTTGTCATTGTGGCTTAAAGACTCCACGTCGCATGTTCTTCAGAAGATGGAGGCCGTCGGATGCAGCGAGACATCACTTCCACCGGCGCACCTTTACGAAGGCCCAGTGCTTAAGGGGCAACGAGCATCTCCAAGAAGCTCGATGGCAGGACTTGAGAATGGCCCAATCTCCAACGCCACAGAGGTGAAGGCGCAAGTGCAAGCCGTGTCTTGCATTCTTTTCGAATGCTACTTTACTTGTAGCACGGGCTTTGCTTGTCATACTTACGGCGGTTTGCAATCGCTCCTGTATGCTGTTTTAGTACTGGTAGAGCTGCAAACCTTGCCAGGCAGTGGGAGCCCAGCGGGCCGCGAGCCTCGGAGCGTCGGATTATAGGACCAACATGTCGGATCTGCGCCCTGAGACTTCGCCGGATTCGCCTGACCTTAGGTCCTCCAGATCTTGGCCTACCTGCTCAGACGAATCCCTCAGCCGGGGACCCCGACAATTAGGTTCAACCAATGTGTCTAACTCTAACTAACTATTGAGCTGTCTGTCTATCTATCTGTCTAGCT